TTTTTTTTTTGCCTGTTGATCAGGCAACATTCTCTCCAAATTTCAGGGGAAAACGTTGAAAACTCGCTGGAAACGAACTCAAAATGTGCTCTTCACTCACTGAAATTTTCGTTTCGAGATACGAAGGAAAATATACTTTGAGGTGTTGTTCCAGTTTAATGAGGTAATTACACAAAACGTGTGACAATAATGACGCTTTGATCGACAAAGTGAGGGCTCATTTTTACTTTAACAACAGAGCTCGTATCAATTACTAAGGAGTCTCAAATGTTACCTCCGGCGGGAAATATCCTTTGCAAGATCTGAATTCCAATGCTAGTGCGCCCATATTAGTAAGAAAATCATTTTCGCTATTGTTTCTTCTTTCGATTTTTAAAACGCCTTAGCTTAGAGATGCTGTAGACAACGAAAGAACCCACCCGTAAACATCTTGAAGGAAACTCACGAGATACCGATTAAGTTGAAATCTTTATTACTGTTACCGCTTCGGACGGCGAAAGCGCCAAGGAAGTAATGCTTAGAAAATGACAAACGTCTTCCTCGTCTAGTGCAAGCAACTTCTTCTCGTGCTCGCAGCAGGAACCTTTGCCGCTAGCAGCTAATCTGAGACCTTTTCCCCCGACTTTTTCCTCTATGGCGCTTTCCTCGAACCCGAAGGGTATCCGGTCACCTCGCCACTAGGGAATTTCGCCACCAACGAGCTCGCCACCACGAGAGGCCTCCTCGCCGTCAAACACCAAGAGAAAATTAAACTAGAGTAAAGTAGTCGAGGTATATTAGGTGTTCGAGCGACTACAATGTCAATCGACTCGTAAGTTTGTTACCTAATGTCTGTTTGCAAATTTCGATGTCAACATGTTGTCGGTGTCGTGATACGAGATGTGCTCCGTTGTCTAGCGAGAAACCAAAGCCTTCTAGAATTCAACTACATGTATATTTCTTTGAGAACTTACTGTGCTGTTATTGCTCCGTTGCTTCGCTGTTGCGTTTGCATTTAAGCTCACGTAAGTGTTTCATGAAAGGCTTCGGCTAAAAGATCAAACAAGTTCAACCTTACACAAGCTGTGTGAGTCACAAAACTAAACAAAGTAGAACGAATTTCAGTTTAATGTTATTAGATCGTTAGTAAATTGGTGGCGAGGAGACTTCGCTTGGTGGCGAGTTCGTTGGTGGCGAGACTTCCTGATGGCGAGGTGACCGGTAACTCGAACTTGCAAATGGACACGAACTTTTGCGTTTCTTCGACGACATATGTAAGCTTAAATCAACAATCTACAAACGGAGAACACCCAGACCAGCTCGTCGACTATACCAAACACAAACGTTTGCATGGTAATCGTTCATACGCGGTAATTGCAAGTTTACATTTACTTCTCGTGACAACCTGTTGACAGCTATCAATAAGAGACAAATAATGCAAAGAAACGTTTTTCGTTTGCAGCTTTGCATAGAATCAATCTTTATTCATAGGACTTTTCTTTAAATGAAACATCATAATAAGATCTATCTGAAAAAGCGAAAAACAATTTCTTTGAAAAATGGTCAATTTTGGGGTATACTGATACTTAAATTACAAGCAGCAAAAATATGGAATAGCGAATTTCATGCCTTGTATTTTGCTTTCAAAAACCAAACCATTGTAATATAGAAAGTGATTATTTTTGGTCGCCAATTATATTAGTGATTTCTTATTGTTTTGTGTGAAAATGTGTAATTACTGAACACAGGAAGGATGAATAGGCTAACACCTCAAATTGATGTCTTTCTAACGTCAGAATCTGCAAATAAAACTTATTAAATACCTTGGTGGAAGATAGGTTGTTACTTTGAAACGGAACTTACTGTCAAGTGATGTCTTGTTTTCCGAAGGCCAATTGGTTTATACCAGTTTTCAATTTATTGCAATCAGTCAACCGATTGTTAGTTTAAAACTGGCTAATACCACCAAACAATAGAGGACAACTGAGCACAATTTCGAGAGCATTTTACGTCTCGAGTATAATTACGAAAATTTCTGAACTGAAGCGATTATTCCCTTAGAAACACATGACAAACCTGCTTAGTCTACCCCAATTGGTAACCTTTTGTCTTCTTTTGTTTAAAATCGTGGTCTTTGATCGTAATTTTTGTGATCAGCATTAGCCTTAAACTTGACTTTGGGAACGCAAAAATGTTTGTTGTATTTCTGGTTGGTATTACGTTTCTTAAAATTTCCATTATCATGACGAATTTCTAGTTTTTCTCCCTCGGCGAAAATTTTTCATAACGTAAACATTTCGAGGTCCACCATAGACAAATGCAGCTGGGCATGCGCTCTTTCCAAGCTTTACAGGTGCAAGTAAGTCCCAGCAGTTGTGACACGAGCTTTAATAAAACCGTTTTACCAATATACAGCTGTCAGTTTAAAAGTTATTTTGTCCTTGTTTAGGACTTCTTAAAAGGAGGCAAAGCCACACAAAACGTTCAGTTCTCCACAGAGAGCTAGCCTGTAACGAAGGTTTCGCTTATCGCGGAATAGTGGCCGTTCGAAGGAAGATATCTAATTAAAGGGAAAACTCAAGCGCGGTAAGTTTTGTTGTTTGTAGATCTAAGGCATTTTTAGCGGCAAGGTGTTGATATGATATTTGCCTGCAATCCCATGCAACAGCCACAGGCAACTTGAAGAAATAGGTTCTTTTTTAAAGTCTTTCCTTTTCTTTTTCATAGAGCAAAAATTGGTTGCCAGGCTTAGCATATTTTAGATGGGAATCAAACAATTTATTGGTAGGGTCAATATCTAAAACTCCGTGAAAACGTTTCGTTTTTGCTAGTGGTAAAACGTTAGGCCAGTAAGGGGCAACGCTTTTCTACAGACTAAATCAGGGAATAAATCATTGTGCGAGACCAATCAGCTCAATTCTTTTGGTGCCTTAGGCACATAACGCCATAAGGGCAAGATTTATAGGGAATAATTAAAGGCGCCGGCCTGCAGTCTTTGTCAGTGCTTGAAAAAAAGTATTCAATACCTCGGTCTGATCCATGGTCATAACTTCCAAGTTCCAATGAAAGGTAAGGCATCAAACAGTGCTTCTATATGCACATGTACAGAAGTTCGCGAATTTTCTTTAGGTTAAGTCCTCAAGAATCAAATCAAGAATTATCTCCATTTGTTTTTCCCACCCAAGTCCTGTTTTTATGTTGTAGTCAAGAAAGCTATGGAGGCGAAGCTTTGTTTGATCCTGATGTTGATTATTTTGGGGACCCTTACCGTACAAGGAGCAAACCCTAGAAAGGAGAGGAAGAGCGCCTGGGAAGTGTTTGCCAGGCAACCTGGTGAGTTTACCTTTGATCCCGAGTGATGAAGATAGGCTGTTTTTCTCCGAATTTATTTTTTTAACTGAGTAGTGGACATGGAAATTTAAATGAAATACAATTCTTAGTTTGTGGGTTAGATCGACTCCTTAATTAACGGCTAACAAACGAACAATCTTTTCTTGTTTACAGAATGCTTTGCCAATGGTGGACACTGTACTGCTGTTCTGCCCTGCTTTGCGATAGGTTTTCATTACTGCCCGCAATACTTCTGTCGGGATCCCCGTTCACCGTATTGCTGCTGCAATCACTGAAAAGGTATGAATTTAGGGAATATATCAAAATGCCAATGAAGTTTATATGATTTTAACCACGTCAGTAAATTACCCAAACGGAAATATGACGCCAAAACTTCGCTTGATAGAAGAAACTGTTTAAAATTCGGTGAACTGCACCGCTCAGTGATTTACGTACCGTCGCTGGGATGCTATGAGACCCAAAGCGAAGCATCCTCTTGAAATGAAGGGACATTTTGTTTTTAAAGATGATCCGTTACTATACCGATAATTGCTCGTTCACTCCGTTTGGCGTAATAATATACGTGTCCAACATTGTCGTGCGAAAGGGTACGAAAAATAAAGACCTGGCGGCTATTTTAAATAATGCAAATACTGATGCGAAAATAATGCCGAATTTTAAATAGCCTGGTGCTTATGTTCCCACACAAATTGTTTGTCATGTGTATTAAGGACGTTCGCGCTGATTGTTTCTACGCATCCTTACTGCGCACGCAAATTCACACGCCACGTCATCCATGAGCGCGCGCGCTAAGTAATAAAATGAAAACTGATAGGACAGATGGCCATTGCTATAGCTTTTTCTGGATTTAACGATCTTTTACGTTCAGTGACCCCTATTTTTCTTTTGATGGATCATTTTCTCTACCGATTTTCTACGTTTAGCGAAAAAATTAAGAAAATCTATCAATTAGAAGTTTGAATTTTTTGCAAAATGTATCATCGAATTCCGTTCTATTTTGCTCTTCGTTTATCTGTGCGACGGTTTCAAATGCTCTTGAAGGGTTAAGTTTTGTGAAAACGTTGGTAACATTTAGAATTATTTACGCAACAGACCCACTTCTACAAAATATGACTAAGATCGTTTGCCTCCATTGACTCACCTTCGATATTTTTAACTATAAACCCTTGTAGACCATTCCAAACTACGTGGGCCAATTTTTTAAAATCAGGGTAGTTTTCCACACGTTTTATCTCTGAAACGAAGTCGGGGACCCCCAATTTCTGACACAGGTAACTCTTTATCTAACTCAGTGCAGTAAAAAATTTAAAAAAGAAATCTATTGACTGGAAAATTTTCGCGCGAACGTCCTTAAGACACCTGCGAAATCAGCATAATAAACTAAAATATCCTGATCAACATAACGTAGATCCTCGGTAGAGTAGATTACATCACACTGGTGTATATAGCCTTGGATAATTACAAGCTCTTTTTTTCTTTTTTCAGCAACTGATGTTGGCAATGGTGTCTCATCAATGGAATGACGGCTTAAACTTAGAAACAAAATCATTATAGTTGGTAAAATAAAGGCTAAAGAAGTGATCGAATACATGTGGGTAATGAGTAAATTCGGGTACTCTTAAAACGTTAACGTAAATAAAAGCTGAATCATTCAAGGACATTTCTTTTGCCTCCATCATTTATTAAAACAGTAGCAAGTGAAAAAGAAAAGTAAATCAAAGGGACGCGATGGGATTATTGGGACGTAACGTCATTGGCTTCTCTGAGCAAAATTATAAGCAAATTTGATAGCAGTAGGACATTATGTGAAAGTCGACAAAGTCAATTTAGACTTTCTGAAATGTTCGGATTTGTCCAAGTGCTAGTTCAAATCAGAAAGACCAATAACAAAACAGCATGGTGGAGAAGGACGTAACATTTACAGTTGACTCAAAGAAGAAGCAATAATTGTGGACGGAGACCGTAACAAAGGAGCATTTTGGTGGGCGAGATAGTTCCCATGATACGAATTTTGCTATTTTAGAACAAATTTTTGCCGTCGAACGCGGTTAAACAAATAGAATTCAATAAATTGTACAAACACGTTCTATTCCTGCCGATGATTTTCCTTCACAAGAAAAACGGGATCGCCTCTGAGCTTAAGGTGACTTACTACGGTTTTTGCCGAGATTCAGAAGCGCGCGCTACGATTCCCTACCAGACATTTAAGAAATGGTAAGCGGGCAGCGTGCAATTGTATCGAGTTATGGATGCACGCGGAAGGTTCCTAAGCACGAAAGAAACGTAAGAGTCGCAGGAGGCAATAGCCGAGTGCGACTCTAGCTTCTTGAGTGCTTAGCAAACCTCCCAAATGCATCCATAACTCAGGAGGATCAGGAGAACGGTACAACAGCGGACCACTGAGGGAACAGCCACTCGCCGGAATAATGGAACAATAGGAGGATCGAAATGCACCAATCACAGCCGACCTTTGTGATATAAATGATACCGTGCAATCAGTCGACCTTATCGC